GTTTTCCATCTCTTCCTCTGCTCGCCCAGCAGCTGACCAAAGCTACCGAACATGTGGAAGGCTCTCCATCGACCGAGGCACCCTCTTGGCTGCTTGACAACCCTCAAGCTACCGGCTTCGATGCGCTCGAGTTCCTCATCAGAACCGTTGATTTCGTGGAGATGTTGAAGCATGCCCGTGGAAGTGCCCTCACTACTAGGTCTCTTCTCCGTGAGATCTCCAGTACTGCTACCTCCTTGGAGAGACTTGTGAACGGAAAGACGTTCGGGCTCGGGCCGTCTCCAACTGAGGTCGCCAAACAAGACGTCCTCTTCCTCTTCGACGCCCATGTCGAGCTTTTGTGCAGTAGCGAGAAGGTGATAGGGACCGTCGACCTGAGACATGAGCTCTGTGTGCGTACCCTGCTGGACGACCTGGCCCTTGCGGAGGAGAATGATGTTGTCGGCCTTCTTGATGGTTCCGAGGCGATGGGCGATGATGATGGTTGTGCGACCCTTGCATGCGCGGTCGAGAGCGGCCTGGACGATCTGTTCACTGCGGACATCTATAGCGGAAGTGGCCTCGTCGAGAATCAGGATCTTGGGTTGCTTGACAATGGCACGGGCGATGGCAAGACGCTGGCGCTGACCACCACTGAGCTTGATACCAGCATCACCAACTTCAGTTTGGTATCCCTAATGCGGGTTAGTATATGAGTCCGATGGGGAGACTTTGAAGATAGTACCTCTGGCAAGCGTGAGATGAACTCATCGGCGAAGGCATCCTTGCATGCCTCTTCAATCAACCTTGCCTTGACTGCCTGGGACTTGTGTTCCCACTCAGTTCCGATGAGACCATACTCGACGTTCTTGAAGATGGTAGTGTTGAAGAGAGCGTTGTCTTGTTGGACCAAGCCGATTTGGCTACGCCACCACTTAGGATCGATCTCGCTGAGTAACCGGCCGCCGACACTGATGATACCGTTGCGGAGCCAGAGAACCTGGTATGGTGTCAGTTACCGTCTCACGGATCCGCGTTCGAAGGAAAGATAGCTTACCAGTTGGTTAGTTTGCATGTCGCCATTGAACTCGTACCATCTCTCCAAGATGCCGACAATCGTACTCTTTCCGGAACCCGAAGGACCCACAATGGCAGTGACTTTGCCGGCAGGGAACGTGAGGAAGAGGTTGTCCAAGATCTTCACGTCGGGACGCTTGGGATAGACGAAGTTAACGGCCTGGAAAACGATGTCTTCGGCGGCTGAGACCTCGGGCGCCTTGAGCGTTCCGTACGTGGCCTTGGGGGCGTCGATGATGGTGTGGAAAATGGCGTTGGCGTCGGCGGCCTGCGATGCGGATTGCAGTGGCGCAGTGATCTGACCCAGGGAGGAGGCCATCATCATGATGCAGAGAAGAACACTGTTTTTCGGATGAGTTATTCGAGGCTGAACCTGATGGATAATGATTACTTACACGATCAAGGATGTTGGAGTTGTCAGGGCCATCATAGTGTACATCTGGAAAGCGTACCAAAATGACAGAGCGAAGGTTCTAAACGTGTTAGCTGACAAGCTTGAATGCCCGTTGGATCGAATCCTTACGCGTAGATGGCGAAGAAAACTTTGGAATGTCAGCAAGGAACAACTCTATCTATGAAGTCGTGGCAACTTACTCAATCCTTGCTGAATCGCAATGAGCCAAGCCATACCAGCACCTCTCTTCCGCGATTGATCTGCCAAGAGTCCGTATTTCGCGAGCAGCTTGAACTCGGCGCCGCACGCAGCTAACATTCGGATCGAGCTGAACGCCTCAGTCGCAACAGAGGCAGCCTGGATATCCATGTCCTGTACATCCTTCAATCTCTTAATGATCGGCGGCGTGGTAATGGCGTACACGATGGCGATGAAGACCAGTCCGGAACTCGTCGTCAGCGTGAGAAGCCAGTTGTAGGCGAAGGCGATAGTAAAGCCGGCAATAACGACTGCAAGACTGGAAAAGAACTGTCCCATCTTCTCGGAGATACCGAGCTGCAGGATGCTGGCGGTGATGGTGATGATGGCGGCTGTCTGACCAGGCGCCAGCATGTCAAGCATTGAGATCGGTAGGTTGAACAGGCATCGCAGATAGTGCAGACGAATCTTTGCTGAGATGCGAAGACTCGTCATGCGGAAGCCGAGCTACTCATGTGTCAGTTGATGCAAAGCCTCTGGATTTGAAGTACTTACGTTGGAGAGGTAAGTCAGGATGAGTCTGGCAATGAACAGATAGACGATGTATAATCTAGCCAAAAGTTAGTCGATGCGATCAAACATGGATGCGTGCTGAGACTCACACTCCCTGGTTGACTGCTTTCTCAAAGTCTTCTTGTGTCTCTGAGGTACCTTGCATGAAGAACCCCGTAAAGGTGCCGACGAGTTGTCCTAAGCATGCCAATTAGCTAACTAAGTCTTGAGCGTGAAGATGCACTCACCAAAGACAATGTTCATCACCGGCATGGTAAGGCCGGCTCCGATAGCACCAATGATAGACCCTACTATGATGAACTTGTCAAGCAATGTTCCATAGTGGAAGATTTTCTATGTTGCCGGTCAGCATAGAACAGGTATGATGAGGCCCCTATGGCAACCAGGTGCTAGAGTTAGTTGAACATACAAAGAAGTTGCGTATCGTCAACAAGGTCTTGGCGTTGAGCTTGTACCAGGCCTTCTTGGGCTCCGCCGGTGTGGCACCGGGATCGGTAGGGGCGCCCGCGGTCCCGTTGGCCGCAGCCGGAGCTGCCGCATCAGCGGCGCCGGCCGGCGTGGCCATGGTGGGTTCGGGTGGTGGAGTGGGTCTCGTAGACCGGGGTGGGTGATCGGGTACCGGGTCCGGCGGCAGATTGTGTTTGGGTTGCAAGCTATGTGGAGGCCCGGGCCATGTGGGAGCTGACCAGGGATCGGCGTGTGAGGAGGGTGGGCTTGCTTAAGTGGTAGATCCGGTATACTTTGACTAAATGCTCGTGTCCTTATGCGATGTTCGATACCAAAAGTCGTGGCAAGATTTGTCAAATGCCAAAAATACTGCTTTCTGATAAGGTGAAGGTGTCGTCTTTTGTCGTCCCGCGGCAGTCTCCAACAATTGACAAAGAGCAAGCAGGCGACTTGCTAGGATCCGGGGGATGAACAAGTTGGCTAATCGCAGATGGGACTTTGGAAGAAACCACAGCCAAAACTCGATCAGGAGGGGAGGGGAGGGGAAGGGGGAGAACAGGGCAAGGGTTTGGAAAGGGGAAATCGGGGGATGGGGGGGTATCGCTGTGAAATGGAGGGAACGGCAGATGTAACCACTAAGGTTGTCAACGGGCCACCTGAGTGATCGAAGGGCTGTGTTGGTTCCGCATCGCTGTTCGAAACAGCGAATTCGACCCAGCGCCGAGAGAGTTGTTTGGGGATGAGGATTGTGAGATTTCTTGGTGGGAGATGGGATGGAGTTGGAGACGGAAGAGAGAGTAGAGGGTGCCTTTCTTGGGGAGAGCAGATGGTTGATGCCTTGGGACTGAGAGGGAGACGCCTGGGCAGCAAAGAGAAGTCTAAGTCGATGATTCAAAGGTAAGAAACGCTCAAGTGGAACTCAATAGGGATACCCAGACCCAGAGGGCGGAGCGTAGGAGGAGCGTGGAGGAGAGGAAGGGCCATGGAAGGAATGGGGGCAAAGATGGCTGAGAGTGTGTGAGGGTAAGCTCAGATCGGTCTTGGAGGGGGCAAGCGGAAACGAGTAAGGGAACGGACGTGGTTTCTTCTCTCTACCCGTGTGATGTAAAGATGAAACGGGAAGCATGTGTATTTGTCCCCTTTTGCTGGGGGCTCTCTTCTCTTAGTCTAAGGTGCAGTGCTCCAGTTTTGCCGCTTCTTTTCGCGGGTACTTTCGTATGTCTGTCTTCTCGCTCACTTCGCACTATTTCCGTGTCAAAGCTCTGCACGCCAAAGCGTATGCTTAGAGTACGAAACAACTACGGGATACCATTTTCTCATACTCGCATATGCAGGTTGAGGGGCTATCTGGGATCGCCCGTGCGGGAGGATGGATCACCTTCCAGCTCGTCCCAGAGTGGTCTGGGGCAAAGCCAGGAAACGCATGCTTTGCGATCCAAGACAGGCATTGCACCCAATTGCCCCTTCCTCATCCTTACCCATCCACACCATCCCTTACCCTTCACCACCCTTTCATTTTCTCCATGTGTCGCCAGTCTCTGACGATCAATGCCTAGAAGGGCAATTCAATGGAGAGATTTCATCTTTTGTTTTACAAGTCATGGAAAGTGGTGTCCATGGTTCGCAGATGAGCGGCATGGATTGGCCGGCCGGAAGGAACGCAAGCCAGGGGATGCGATTCCGAGGACACACGTGAAGGGGACGTTTTTAATTTCTTGCCCAGCGCGTTTTCTCTGCCCGTATTTGTGTTTGGGAACATGTGTTATCCATGATGTGTATTTCTGGCACATGGAGTATTTGACATCTTGACTCCAAGGGCTAAGTAGTTGACAGATCCATACCTACCTCACTTGTACCTACCCCATCATGACAAAAGACAACTGTCTCTAGACTCTGCGGAGTTCGTTTCCGCCGGATCATGCATTTATGCGCTTCAGCCTCTGGCCAGTCAATCAATCACATTTGACATGTTGACGGACCCGTGATGGGAACTCCTGTCAGATGCTCTGGCATTGCCATCTAGAATTTCTAGCTGCACTCTTCTTGCCTAGCAACCACTAACCCCTCCAAAACCCCCTTGAAGAAGTCAGTGGCGATAAACATGATTTGAAAACCAATAAAGCCAGGAAAACCATAAACCAACGCGGGAAAACCCAAATAACCATAATACCCGACTCCAGCAGGCTCCAGGATATGCGGCATGCCAAACACCCGTCTATCTCTAATGCTGACACGAGGAGGAAACCAGTCCCTTTGCTGTACCTCCTTCCCCGTCCATAAATCCAAAAAAAAAAAAAAAAAAAAAATCCAAAAACGACAATCGATGCTAATTATCCGGGGACATTCCCTCGGCTGGGATCACCCTTTCCCCACACTCCATCCTTACGACAGCAGACCCTCTTCTTGCATGTCAGCCTGGGTCTCGCGGATGATGTCGCCAAGCTCCTTGATGGTATCCTTGTCACGGGGTAGGGTATGGCCCTTAGCATGGTCGAAAAGGTACGCGGTGTCAGGATCGCACATGTTGTAAAGAGCCATAGAGCCATCAACATAAGGATCCAAGGATCCGACTGTAAGGAAGAGCATCGTCAGCATTCCTCCGGATAAGCAGCATTGAAGCAATGCATATATCAACTTGACTTACTGATGTGCAAGGTGCGGGCCTCGATGCGCTCCTCGCTCTCGTCGGAGAGGACCAGGGCGTGAGTCTTGGGGTCGACCGGAGGCCAGCCAGCAAAGAAGATGCCGTACTTGAACGCCGGCTTGATGCCGGAGCGCTTGAGGCGGCGCTGCTCGTAAAGCATAAAGGTGGATGCCACGGTGGCGCCCTCGGAGTAGCCGATGATGCCGTCAAAGGGGCCGCGCTTCGCAACAATGTCGGCCAGGAACTTAATGGCTCTGTCGGTACTGCGGTGGGTGGTTGCGATGCCCTCTCTCATGAGCTCTCTCATCGTGTCTTCGGGGGTCTCGCAGTCAGGGAAGTCACGAATGCGCATGAGCACATCGTCGCTGTGGGACTTCTCGACATCCCTATCGGGCTCGATGAAGCGGTAGTAGGGGGGAGCTCCGAAGTAGTCCTCAAAGCCCGGAGGTGGAACGGCCTTGCAAGGTCCATGGATGAAATGGAACTGAGCCGTGCCATCCTCAGTAAGCTCCTTCAAGATGGGGGCTGAGAAATTGTCAGTAAGTGAATCTCAATAGTGTAGCCGCTCACGACAAGTCTGTGGTGACTCTATTGCATGAGAGAGAAACTCACCAAGTTGAACTTGGAATTTCTAGTGTATATTAGTGAAATGTCCAAGATGGCATCAACAGGTCTGAGTACTCACGTCCGAGCTGCCGTAGGCACCGGGAAGGCACAAGAAGCGCAACATGGTGAATGTTGGTATGGGTTAGCGTGAGATGTGAGAGCGGAACCGAGCGAGACCGATCGTCCAATGACAAGTGAACTGTCAAAAAGCGGGAAGCTGGAAAGTGGACGCGTGAGTATTTGTGATGAAGTGGTTTGATGATGTTGATGATTGTGGATGATGAATCAGCGAGGTGTGGAGATGAGATAGTTCGATGAGGATGGTCTGGCCAACAGGAGCGTTTTAATCAATTCGAAGCTATCTAAAGAAACACTTGTGATATGATGCGCGGTAATCGACCCACGACGAAATCATCAGCTCAGACAGGTAATGAGACGGCGCAGCAGTTGAGGCGGGACGACGACAAGACACAGGAGGCGGCTGAGTTGACCCAGTCCCAGGCTTAGAATGACAACTCAAATCGACCGTGACCCGGAACGAATAAGGAACTTGTGAAACTCTGCACCTCAGCAAAGATTGGGGCGATGAGTTGTTTTGCCGGTACCTTGCCGTTGAATGATGGGACCAACCCGAACAACGGGTCGGTTTGGGCTGTCTATGGGAGCGTGAGAGCTGGAGCGAAATACTGGGCCCGCGGCTGATGGGTGGATGAGTGCTTCACTGAAAGGGTTGGAGTGATGAGGTGATGTGAGACCGGGCCTGTGAGTATCGGTCCTGAGACCGGCTTGGCAGGGTGTCCCGGTCCTCGGTCGAGTAAAAACTGGACGAGGATAGACGATGTTAGTTGGTGGGCGACTCAAGACATGGAGGCGAAACAAGCGCGGCGAGACGCCACGCCACATGGAAGGAGTCGAGGAATGCCTGCCAGTGGGCTTCTCTGCAGAGAGAGGCAAGACACTTGGCAGATAGTCTGATAGACGTGGCAGGCTGCCAGTCAGCCTCTGGGCATCCCGAGATCCGAACCCTCGGTCGACGCGTTGGTGATGCACTGGTGCAACCGATGACATGTTGGTTGTGAAGTGGACTACTTTGGGCTGGACTTCGGTCCGGCTCTTGTCACCTTGTAAGCTTGAAACGGGATAAGAAAATGCCCGCGCGGGGGCGCAGTGTGGGTGTGACGGTCTCGTCTATCTGACTAGAACGGGCGAGGAGATGAGCAGAGCGGGATGGGTGGGATAGTCAGAAAGTGTGCTGAAGAGTATGATGAGCTTGAGTGAGAATGTGGGATTGGAAGGTTGTGAGAGTGCGCTTGTGCGTACATATCGGAGAGTAAGCGAGGGTGAAAGGCGGGTGAGAGAGATTGGGCGATTGAGTGGCTTGGGGGATGAGTGAGTGAGTGAGCAGCGCCCACGGTAGGCGCGTGTGTTTGCAGAGAAGGAAACATTGTTTTGCAAAGATGCGTTTCTTTGGAACACGGCCGTTCGCTGACTTGCAGAACGACTTGACGGGATGTGGTTAGATGAGCTAGGATGGAACAGGACACATTGGGGGATGAGAGTTCTCGTATGTGATCCTTGAGTGAGTGAGGACAGCGCAGGGTGAGTTAGTGGGTATGGGCAGGATTCAGGTACACGGTGACAAACGAAGCGTACTGCAGCACGGCAAAGTCCGAGGTACCTCCGTGAGATTCTAGCTGTACTCGAGCTAGGATGACCGTAGAATCAGACTAACGCCTGCGCAAATCGAGTGCGGTGCAGGGACAAGGCCTCTAGTGTGGCTGGCGCGTGTCAAATAAGAGCTTTGATGGTGCAACGGCACGGGAAGGAGGTGCGACGGAGGGCGCGCTTGTGATTTGGAAGCTGCCAAAGCTTTCTGACAGAAGCAGTTTTAGAAACACCCTTCATGCCTTGGGTTCTCTGCCAGTGACAACGAATAGAACCGGGATAGGGAGTCGAAGCCTGAATGCGAGACCGAACTTTCTTGACTCGATGGAGTAGCGGTTACAATTGTTGTTGTCGAGAAGGATGATGTGTAATTAGTTGTGTCTGAGAGATGTGGAAATGTTCAAGGGAGCTGGGCTGAGGTGCGAGTGGAAGTATTGCGGAGAGTTTCCATAGGGGTGGACCAGAGAAACGGGTATGGAGTATTAAGCAGGACAATGTCTTAGACAGTATAGTACGATAAGAAGGGTAGATGCGATAGGCCGATAAGACGATGAAGTGGATATGGTCATATGCGGTGCAACCCGACGCGACCTTACGTTGACTTCATCCTCTCCGTCCTCATCTCTCGTTTCTCCCAATCGCCCATCGCCAGGTTGGGCGAAAAGAGCCAAGGTAAGCCCATTCGGGCGATAGATCCGACTATCCCTTTTTCGGGATCCTGCACCAACACCTGCATATGGTGCCGTTCGAAGGCTGCATTTTCCACCTGCAATCACTGCGAACTCTCTGCAGCTCGGATCTGCCGCCGCGTTTTTCTTTACCTTCAACCCCTGCTTTCTTCCCCCTCCTCTCCTCAGATGTCTCGCCCGCCGGATACTGTTCCAAGCTCAGGTATACTACAGATACTGCTGTTCCCTCAGGGCTGCTGCTGAGTGCCCACTCAATGCCGTTCGCTGGGCTGTCTTACAGTAAGACAGACGTTGGAACGGTCCTGGGCTCTTTCTTATTCATCTGTACATGAACCGGCACCGCATACCTTGTCAGAGGGTCTCGGTTTGCTTGATGCGATAGGCCTCTGTCCTGATCCTGACCATGTCATCGGGACGAAAGTGGGCAGGGAACAGACGCAACGCCTCGACACCTCCGCCGCTGCTATCGTGAACATCGGTGCTTTTGACACAAGACGCACTCTTTTCTAAACCGAACAACAAACGAGCGCCGATAACCAGACCAACTAAACATGAGAGCAGATGAAGAAACAAGCTCCGCCACGTTGGGTTTCTCCAGTAAATGTTCTGCAGAATCCACAGAACCCGCAGATATTCCCAGCAAATAGGACCAGACGGATGCCTGGAGATGGGGGGAAATATGCACTCCGCCCCATCATCTCTTCTACGGGCAGCTTTCAAAGCTGCTCTGCCTCTTTCTCAGTGTCTCTCTGGGTGTGTCTCGTTCGGTGGGATGGCAAGATGGTCATTCTGGGGCCAGAAGCTGCAGGATCCCATCCTTCTTGCTCTCCCTTGGCACTGGATTACTGGGTCGCCACTGCAGCGGCAACTTCCAGACATCGGCCGCAAAATGGCTCCCAGAGTCCCTAGTAAATCCTCACAGAGCCTCCTCAAGTTGATGGGGCTCAAAGAACCTCTGGGAAGCCAATCATGGCGGCGAACGAAACTTACATAAGCAGGAACAAAGTTCTCCACTCCGGCCCGCTAGGCCGAGTCGGGACCATGCCGCAATGACCTCGTCTCTCACGTCCACGGAGCACACTGCGTGCTGCGTTGCCATGCAGTGCTGTGCTTGGCTTTGCTGCTTCCAATGCTGCTGCTCCACCTCCTGATGGCCCAGCTCGCCGTTGCTGCTGCTTCACGGTCCAACGCTTCAGTGGAGTGATCCACCCCCAAGAGAATCCCCAGCCGTTTACCGCGTAGTGCGCCGTACCGGTGCAGACACCATGGCAACTCCCCTCGACGACGACTTCACCACCTCACCTCCGAACCACGCCACCGGGCTCCCGTCCGGGAGGTTCGAGTGTTCATTGCGCTCCCTTGTATTGGTCCGAGTCAAACGTCCGGCTTCTGCACTCTGCAAGGAAACTGCATACCAGACTGCATACCAGCCTGGCAGTGCCGCTCAATTGCAAACAAACTAAGGCACCTCTTCACGCCATCAGCATCCAGCAAATCAAGGGCAAACCGCCTTGCAGTTGATCATGTCTCCGAATCACGGTGACCGATTGGACATGGAAACACCCCCTTGAACGATGAACCGTCGGCACTGCTTCTCGCCGCTGAAAGGACCGCATATCCCTCCTGTCCCTTCTCCAGTGATGCGCGAATATGACGAACGGATATACCAATTTGCCCACACATTACGCATAATCAGTTCATGAAGACTTGCTTTTGACCAGATTAACCATAGACATGGTACAAGCTTCTTGCCTCGGCCGCCACTGGGCCACTTCCCTCGTGCTGATGCTGGCCAGTCCTCCCTGGTGAATCTGGGGGAGGCGACGTCGTGGTGAGCAGGGACTGCCGCTGCTCCGCTGCTCCGGGTCGACATGGGCAACCCGGCATCGGATGTGCCCTGGCACCTCTCCGTGATGGTCCTTTTTTCGTTCCTGGCATGCGCCCAGTATGCACGTTCGGGATCTCCCTATGATCTACCTAACCGTCAGGCAAATCTAAATCACACAGGCTAGTCTGTGCGAGGAACTCCGGCCGACTTGGCGATCTGATCACCAACCAGTCCCTTCCATGTCAACTCACTCGCGACGGAGCGAGCACCATCAAGTGTGATATTTCCCCATGGCCGTTGATCAGCTAAAAACCCTACGAAGAATCCCAACCAGGACCAGGAAAGAAGTTTCGTCACACTCACTCATCTCAACGAGGCTTGGTACGTACTCCCATATCAATCCGGCCTGCCCTCTTCCAAGCCCCAAGTTTTCTATCTAGAGCACACGCAGTCCGCCTTTCGTTTCTTCCTCCTCCTCATCCACATTCTTCCCTTCTTCTTTTGGTCATTGTAAGGAACGCCTAGAGCGCCGGAACCTTCGCTGTCACTTTCATCGTTGCTTTCGACGAATGCTTGCCGAATAGATTCGACACATACAAGCGGTTTCCGCCAATCTCCCTCCTCCACCCTTCATCATGGCGCCCGGCGTGCTGTCCTACTCCTCATCGGGGACATCGCCATCGGCAAGTCCTGTCATGATGACCCCGATCGATCACTCCGATACCACATCCGATGGCTTCACTAGCCTGTCCGTGGGGCCCCTAGACGGTGTCGGCCTCAACATCCACGGACAATCAACAAATGGTCACTCCAACGGCCACTCCAACGGCAGTGCCAGTGCCCATGCGACGAGCCAGGGCTACACCAACCCCGTCGGCGGCAGCGACGCCGGCTTGAAGCAGATGCCCATCGCCATCGTCGGTATGGCCTGCCGTATGCCCGGCAGCGTCTCCAGCCCCGCCGAGTTCTGGGAGCTGTGCTCCCGCGCCAGAACTGGCTTCACTCCCGTGCCCAAGGAGCGCTTCAACCACGAGGCATTCTACCACCCGAACCCGGGCAAGACTGGAGCTTACCACGCAGAGGGTGGTAACTTCTTGGACGTCGACCTGGCGTCGTTCGATGCCCCCTTCTTCGGTTTGACGGAGAAGGAGGCCATCTCCATG